TGGATAACATGCATGTTCCTAAAATGTTTCCTACAGTGAGTTGTCAGGCCCCTTCCCCGTTAGTATGCTAGGAGAGAAAAGAGAAGCTAACATTACCAATGAAATTAAACTTTTCTCTGTTAAAGCCTCTGTCAGCCTCGCCTATTGCTGCAAGAGTTTCTTTTGTGTGTTTGTGTGTGTGCGTGAAGATTTTACCCCCTAGGTTGGAATCTATTTACTAAACAGCTGTGTTCCAAAAGTAGCCTGCCTCTTTTATGTTCAGCGTGGTTATTAGTTCACAATTCAGTTTTATTTTAAGTAAGTTTTAAGGTCTCTTTAAAGGGAGTTGGGGCAGCAAAGCAAACGAGTTTGATGACACAAAAAGGTTGTGACGTTTCCCATTAAATGCATGTAGATGTAGGATCCAGGTGGCACAACTCAATGTACTAAGGCTAACCTCTCAATCGTCAAATAACTTCATAAGTCCACATTCGGAACCTTTTAACAAATTAATATTTACTGCCACGACTGTAAGAGCGAAATAAATAACTTTCTAGCAGTAACACGTTGGGTTGATCATGGAATTGCAGAAATCTCAAAAGCAGTTAAGCTTTCTTTGATACAAGCCCTGGGAGTATGAGAATAATATTGCACATATTTAGTTACAGTAATCCTTCATAAATTAACAGTGAGTCACGCAAATGGAGACAATCTTGCAGCGTCTTTAGTTGGATCCAGGACTGAGACCTGGTTTACGGACAAGTTTGTTAAGGAAAGTATGCAGATCTAACAGATGTAGCTTAGCAGTATTGGGAGTGGTGCCCATTTAAATCTAAAGGAAAGCTGTAAGCTACATATACAATTGACATTTGCAATCCAGGTACCTTTTGCTCCATGCACAATTGGCAAGTTGGTTATACTCCTTGGAATAATTACACACTAGCTGTGTGTGTGGGCGGAGGTGTTATATATTTCCATGTTTCTTCCATCTCCCCAATTTTAGATATATAATAGTCTAGGTCCATGATCCTGAAAAGGGTTTTAAAAATTAATAACGTTCAGAAGTGAGTTTGTTTCCAAGCACCCCCTATTGATACTTTTTTAGGTCTTTCCCCTGATCCTAGTTACTTTCATCTTTATTTTTTACACCCTAAAATTAATTCCTCCTAAAGTCCATTTTTCATTGTGGACTGTACTAGTGACGTACAAATAATTTACATCAGCGTTCATCAGGGCTGCCCTGATGTGATGGATCATTTTGTTGAGTTGCAGTAAAAGTGCAGAATGATCTATAATGATGTAATATATACATTAAAAGGGTGTCTGGATGATCCGAGTTTTGCTAAAAATGTAAAAGGGCTTTTTGATTGATAACAGGGTTGCTGTTTTTCTGCAAAGGCTGTCACAGGCTGACACAATGCTTGAGTTATTAGAGAGGAGAAGGGCAACCATAAATTTCCAACGTCAGGCAAAAACTCTCTTTATTGTCTATATGATGGATGGGCCTCCGTACTAGACACCAAATACTTCGTATCACCCTTAAATGGGAACACATTTTTCGTGGCCATAATTCATGTTTTTTAAATAGAAAGTTTGAAATGCCTGCCTATATTTCACAATCCTGACATATTTATGAATCACTCCCTGCATGCAAATATAATTATTTAAAGCACTGAGGTGACATATGGGTTAGAAATGTACCAAATGCTGTTAGTGGAGTGATTTTTTTTAATTCCCTAAATTGAACACCATAGAAAACTCTGCCTGTCTGTTCAGATCAATAAAGTCGAAGGTGAAGTTTTACTGATTCTGTCAGTGCCACATACAGAAATTCGGTTTTGATTAGGTGAAACTGACAAAAGAGGAGTCTTTTCGCAATTACCATTAGGTTAATGAAAGAAACACTCATCTTCTTTCCTGGCTCATTATTTCTTTAAAGAATAACTGGCTTTTTTTTTAAAAAAAAAATGAACCAGCCAGAGGAAAAGATCATATTGTTTTGCAGAATCTATTTTTCGTCCAGATCCTCTGTAACGCTTGGCTCTGAGGAAACACACGCAATCATTTTCATCGGACAAAAGGATGTTACCGAAAACAGTTTTTAAGTTTATCTACCTAGCAGGAACGACGGACGAAAGCCGATTCTAGTGAGTTCCAAAGCTAAAAGCAGATTTGCAACGGACAAAAAAAAAAAATCAAATGTACTTTGTAAATGAAATACACCAACTCCGCGCTGCTTGCATTTCCTGGTTGCAGACCGGTGTGTTGCTTTTCCCCTAGCTTTATTGTAACATAACACTGAACCACAACGCTGTTTATTTGCCTATAACACACACACACACACACACACACATACACACACGTCTAGCTACACAGAGAGATTGTCACTGATGGAGGCAGATCAATTCTGTCGTGGATTTTGCCCAGCGTCTGCCATTTGGAAAACACCCGGGTTGCTTATGAACAGAAAAAACACCTTCTAATATTGTTACCGTCATCCGTCCCCATTTAGCTTGTAACCCAGCCAGCGAACGGCTAGAGTCAGCCGGAGCTCCCCGCTGCAAAGAGGACCGGTCCGAGCCCTAGCGAGAAAACCAGCCCCGCTTTCTTGTGTCACAGGCAGCAGTGTAAGCTTACCGCTCTGCTGCGCTCCGGATTCCGACACCACGCGCCCGCCCCCCAGCTGTCTCCACGTTACCTGTGCGTTTACACGGGGCGCTCGGTTCGAACACACAGACCCCGCTAGAGTAAGAATTATGCGGCCAATCGGGTGGGTTATTATTATTTTTTTTTTA